CTTAAAAGCATAGCAATAAATATAAAAATTATTACGTTTGCCAAACTTTCCATTTCGAATTAACAGTTAAAAGTTAACAATTTTAAAATGGATTAGCCTACTTGNTGTTTCATTGAAAACGTTACCTTAAAAGCATAGTATTCAATATGCAATAAATATAAAAATTATTACGTTTGCCAAACTTTCCATTTCGAATTAACCGTTAAAAGTTAACAATTTTAAAATGGATTAGCCTACTTGAATAGAGTTTCCATAAGTAAGTGTTTATTTATGTTTATCTTTGATTTTCTATTTCGTTATCCTTGTTTCTTTAAAAACCCAGATTTTTCACTCTTGAACTATGTTTACATTTTGCATACGATTTTTTTTTCTATCTTCTGTACCTGTTATTTCCATTTCCTCCCCGTTCCTGATATCACGACGGTAACACCGTTCTTTTTTGGTCCTCTCCTCTTAGAGAGCGCCTTTTCTTTCCCCTATCTAAATAGGTCGCCAAAAAATGGGCGGCACTTGGCCTTGCCGTGGTTATGATAAAAATCCCCTGTTTCAATCAAAAGCATACTTAAAAGTAATTTTCTACTTGATATAATGAGCTTGTGGCTTACTGGTTATCAAGAAATTTCTTTTTTTCAAGTTCATTCGAATTAACTGTGAATTTCCATGAAAAAAAAAGTATAGACGTAAAAAATTATCAGCAGCTAGTAACTCCGTTTTCCAGAGGAAAAGGTTCGATCGAAATACATGAACCTTTTCGATAGAAATCGGAAGAAAAAAAAAATAATCCTTTCATGATACGTTCCGCTTTAGTATCTAAGAGAACGTGATATTGGGTTTAAAATGCTTTTCCCCAATGTCGATCTCTCGTTTAGGTTGCTAAGTGAAATCACTATGAGCTTTTCATGACTGTAGATCTTTCGTGCAAGTAGCTCAATAAAGGTTAAATAAAGTTATAATCACTATCTTTGATTATGACCACGCATGGCATCACTTTTACTTTCGTGACAAGTTACGAAAGTAATAGTAAAAAGTACGCACTTGTACTTCGTAACTTTTTAAATTTAGTACCTCTCCTTGTTTTTGCGTTACTTTTTTGGGGAAAAAGTACAAGTACTTGTAACGAGAATGTCAAAGGAAATCGTTACTTTTTTTCTGAAATTTTTCAAAAAATTAAAAAAAAAACTTTTTTTTTTTTTAAATTTATTCTTTTTAATTAAAAATTTTTATGTATTTTTTAACAGCTAACTTCTTTTTCCAAACATCTTTAAGGATTGCAATTTCCCGAAAGGGAAACGGCGGCTGATGGGAGGGAACGTAAAACCCTTACTTTAATGGATTTTACCTGTATATGAATACAATTTTTTTTTTGTATATGTACTTTGTATATGATTTTTTTGAATGCAATATGTACTTTAAAATCGTTACATTTCTCGTTTTGAACTTCTACTTTGACCTGTGCTTTTTTCTCGCTGCTTTTTTAAAATCATAACTATTTACTCGTTACTCTTGCATAAAGTACGTGTACTTTTACTGATTACTTTTTAAAAGTAACGTTCCCACGGAATCTTTGGACGATCTCATATGGATAATCAAATAATTATTCCATAATGCGTCATTCACCTCTGTCATCTATGGCCCATGGTGCACCACGTCTTCTATGTCACTGCCCTAGTAACAATTTATCCTTGGCCCCAATTAAGTTCAAAATTGACTCAATTTGGGTTCTATAAGAATATTTAACTAGGGACCAATATTGGGATGCCCATATTTTTCCTTATTGGTCCTAGAATGATCTATAAAAGGGCCTACATTGACCAATATAGAACCTAATCGACTAAATAATGGATATAACGGGTATATCTGACAATTCTATATAGACAGATATTGGTTATAAAGTGGCTGTTAAATACCGGATGAATCGGGCAATTCTATTGTATATAGGGCCAATATCGGTAAAATAACGGCACTTTGAAGACTTATTGAGCCAAGATTCATGAATATTGGCCCAATGAGGACCCACGTTATTTTGCTGCTATGGTGATTTTAGACAGTACCATTTCGCCGTGCATGGTATGCCTTTATTACTGGAGCATACAAAGAGTTTACAAAATTAGTGGTTTAGGAAATGCTTCCACCTTCGTCTCAAAAGCTTAATTATTATTTTATTACTACATGCAGGTACCAATACCTGCAGGCTTGTATGCGCAATAAGTACTACTTATAAGTCTGTCAAGTAGACAGACAGATAGTATAGAATTTAGAGGATAGAACGAAGATGCATCTAGGGTTTCGGCGGAATTGAACTTGCTACCGCTACGCTACGAAAAGTTTGGCTAACGATACCGCCTCGCGAAAAACCAATGATCCTGCCCCATTTGCGATCGAAATGGGCTGTCGGTGGCGTCAAGCAAACTCTCTAGTCATGGAAACACTTCGCATACTTTCACCACTAGCGGGTGGAGAGTCATAAGAGAAAAAAGTACATCAGTTCCTCTCGTGATTTTCAAATAGAAAAAAAAAAAAACTTTAAGTTAGGAAACTATATGAAACTGAAAACTACAATGAACATTGTTCTAAAAGAAAGCATTGTGGATATTTCAAAAAATATTTGTGACAATGAAATACGAAAAATATTAAGAAAAGGGAAAACATCGTAGTCCATTCCTATACAACTGAGAAGAGGAAGAGAGGGAACCAGTCTTCTCGACAGATGGCGTATTCGAGCTTTGCGATCGCGAATAGAAGTCGGACAAATCACTCAAATTTAATAACGCTAATGATTGCCATGTTTACCCGTCTCCTCGGACACCCTATACATACGTTCCACTGCCTTCTGTGATTGGTTATTTCATGTTGACGTCGAAAGTAGGTGGTAGTCACATTAATGTGACTGGTCTGTGTATATGGGTTGCTTAACAAAGGTTTAATATCTATTTGCTTTTCTTTACTATCAATCTTTCGTACAAGTCACATGAAGTTAAATAGTTTTTCTTCCCCATCACTGTCTATCCCTCATTCATGTAACTTAATGAGGTACTGTTTTGACTTTTTTCATAACAGATGGCGCCACTGGATCTTGTTTATCAAGAAAGATTTTATTATTTTTTTCTTCTTCCCTTTTCAGTTAGATTTTTATTCGCAATGGTTCGTAGATGAGTAATATCATGTTTGGCAATATTGCCTATGAAAAGTCAATTGCTCATTTATTATTCAATGAAAAATATAATCGCAATGTTATGTATAAATCATGCTCTGATAATCAATTAAAGAAATAAAAATGAATTTCGGTAAGATTTCGAGACCTTGTTGTGCTAAGTTGTTATTGTTTCATTTTCCCACATTGTATTTGTTTCTTTAATTCTTAGGATATTCTACTTAATTTTTATGATTTTTCTATTATACAGGGTGTTCCAAAATTCTCTTTACAACTTCAACAATTCATAACTTCGAAAATAAAGAAGATATTTATATTCTGTCTTTTGCATGTATTACTGCAACTAATAAAGTTTTGTTTAATACACTTCAACATGCGCACCATTGGTGGCCCTGAGCACTTCCAGTCTAATCAATTTCAAGCCAGGTGATGTAAAGATAATTTTGGAACACCCTGTATAATTTTTATGATTCGCCAAAGGTTCATTCCAGGTTCTTATGCTCCAGGCTAATTTCAAAACTAAAAAACATACAAACGTTTTAATGATTTTAGGTCATTCTTTAAAGAATAAGAAATGAATATCAGTTTAGTGACACAGTAATTTGTTATTAAAAACGTATGGATAATACAAACTGTTAAAAATGACTCCAATGAAATATTTCAGGATATATTTCTCAATTTAAATTGATTTCCCACCTGTTATATCGTGATATATTTATATAAGCTCCGCCAATCGTTGAAAAGTAATATCAAGTTTATTTTTCATGCAATTCACGTCGTGCCCTAAAGCCTATAATATATTTGTAAAAAGGGTTTATTTTAAACATGAATAAATTTGTATTTTTAGTTCTATTTAATCGTGCCTTGTCTCAATTTTGGAATAAGTAACATTGTAAATGCAACAAAAAATTTTCTATTAACTTTTGTAAGAATATTGTAAATGGATTTTTTCAATGATATGAAAATTATTGGTAATTATTGTGGGTTTTATTTTGATGTCGCTAATACACGTTATTATGCAGACAGCTAATTTATCTAAAGGGGAAGTCATGACATTGGAAATTCTCTTAGAAGTAAGATTTGTTATTCACCATGTCGCATTCCAAAGTGAATTTCCTTGTAGACCAGAAATAATTTCTGTAATAGCATACCAATTTAGAGGGGGAAAACCGTTGGAAATTTAATTTTAAATAATCACAGTCAATATACTAGATAATTTTTCATCATTCCGTCCTAGTCTTGGTAGCCTAGGTTGTAATTTACTTAGTTGTCACTATCACTCATTTACAGTAATTTTTTTTTATTAATAAACTTTTTTAAACAGTAGATTTGTTTAATACTCATATGAACTAGCATAGAAGCATTAATTTAAGAATAATTTAATATTACTGTAATTTAAATATCGCTAATAGTTTCAAAAAAATAAAATTAGATGTAAAATAAAATATAAAAAATATTTTATGTTTTATTAAAATTATTTTATATTATATTAAACAGTAGATTTATCGAAAATGTAACGCTTTTAATTGGTAAAGATAGAAATAGGTAAGCGAAAGTTTTACTCTCACGGTCAGGGGGACAAGCAAGTTTGTTGCTACTAGGCAGATTATCCATACACCAAAGTTAGTCTTAACTAGTACACCGCTTTTTAACTGTATATTTTCAATGACTTTTTTATTGAAATTTGCTGGTTTCTGCTACTAATAACTTTAAAGGCTTAAAAATTAATTCTGGAAATGCCTTTTTAAGTCAAGTGAGTAAAACATGCTAAAAGAGTATATAATAAATAAAAAATTATTTCTTAATGTTTTAGAGACAACTGCTAGTAAATATGGAAGAAATTACCATGTTCGAAATATTTAGATATTTATTACTACTGCTGAACAAATTAGCAAAACTGAGATTGTTTTAAACATACTTAATTAAAATACATTAACTGAAAAACATATATTCTATGCTTTAAAAATATATAATGCTTAAATTTATAAATTCCATACTCGACCCATAAGCAAAACAAGATTTGTCCTCTCATCCACTATCAAAAACAGAAATGGGTGATCTGCAATAAATTTTGTTGGAAAATCGTCAGGAAATGGCGCTGACTTGAAAGAAAAGGCTGCCGTAAAGCCAGAAGCCTCGACACCAGATTCGTTTACCTCAATCATTGCCTTATGTCTCAATTCTCCAACAGCAACATTACCATCCAAAACAATACCGCTCAGATTCGCAAGAGTTGGTTGAAATATTTCTGTTGCACCCATTTCATGAATAATAGGGCTCACATCGGTTGAGTAAGATATATTAAATTTTGGCAATTTGAGTTTAACCATCCTCGGCGTGATATCATAAAGGTATTTGTTCAATTTCTGTGATGAAAGGCTCTTTTCGAAATCCGGCAATCGGTCCATTCGGTGTGGTAAAAGGATCACCATGCTGATGTTTTCGCCCCAGCAGCTAAGATGGATAATGCTTACTTCATTGTCCTCATAGTGTAGATACGTGTCCTCACGGGCCATCATTGGAACTGCTCTGTTAATAGTCAAAACAATATTAGTTTACATATCATTGAAATTGGTCTGTTAATAGACAGTATAATGTTTAACATCATTTGAACTTTTTTGTTTATAGCTAAAAACAGTATTAATCTACATATAATTGTAACTAATCTGTTATAAACAAAAGAATTATAGTCAACATGTAAATTCATCGAATAATTTTTTTTCCCAGGTGTTTAAGTGGGTGGCCAGGTGGCTGAGTGGTAACGCTTTGCAGTCCCGTGCCACAGGTCCTGGGTTCGATCCTCGGGACGGACAAGGTAGACTCAGCCTTTCATCCCGTCAGTGGATCGATAAATGAGTACCAAGCATGCTTGGGAACTAAACATTGGGGGTTCCGCGTTCGGCTGACCACCCGACCGAAACATCTGCCCCTGCACCCCAGAGCCCAACGTCAAGAAAACTGAGATGGGCACATTAGGCCTTGGCCCTCTATGGACTGTCGTGCCACTGAGTTTAGTTTAATTTAATGCAAGGTAACTTTATCAATATATACTTCTGAAATTCAAACATTTAAAGTTATTGAAGTTATCTAAGAAATCTATAATAAAAAATATATACCATTTATGTCTCTAATATCTAGGAATTTTATCGAAATTTCTTCTTTTTTTTTAAATATAGAATATGATTATATAATTTTAAATATGATTATATAAATTTGATTCAATAGATATGATATATGTCCACCACTATATACAAGCTACTTATATTAGACCTAACAATTATACAGCAAAATTTTCAACGGAGCATCAGCTAATGAGAAATAATTCTTCCCTCCNAAACTGAGATGGGCACATTAGGCCTTGGCCCTCTATGGACTGTCGTGCCACTGAGTTTAGTTTAATTTAATGCAAGGTAACTTTATCAATATATACTTCTGAAATTCAAACATTTAAAGTTATTGAAGTTATCTAAGAAATCTATAATAAAAAATATATACCATTTATGTCTCTAATATCTAGGAATTTTATCGAAATTTATTTTTTTTAAATATAGCTGACTAAATTATTATAATATATGGTTTTGATTTAAAACTTTGTATGCATAACTGAGTAGATATTTGTCAACATTTTCCAATTTTGGGAGATTTTACATGATATAGTTACAGTGATAGTAAGTTTTATTTTAAATATTTTATTATTGATTATATAAATTTGATTCAAGAGATATGATATATGTCCACCACTATATACAAGCAACTTATATTAGACCTAACAATTATACAGCAAAATTTTCAATGGAGCATCCGCTAATGAGAAATAATTCTTCCCTCTTCACTGATATCAGTTTTAGCTACAACTTTATCTACTGGCCAACTTTTCGATCTTCGAGTCATGTTCATTCGCCATTTGCCACTTTTAACAAATGCAGATAAAGAGACAGGTGCTGAAAGGCAGATACCTCGGCAAAAACTTCACATCAAAGCAGTAAAATTTTAAACTAAGAATTAAATTATATAAACTATTTAAACTAAGTTTACCTTCCGTTTTCAATTCACTACCGCCTTAAATGCTGTTGAGTACTAAGATTTTCGAGTTGGCTCCTAATTATATAAATGGATCTATGCAGATGGTGAAATGTAACACGCAAATCGGTTTACTACTTAATGTCTAAGAGTTTCCATTATTTATTTATCTTTAAAATCGAGTTGGACCATTAGAGTAAAAATATTAAATCACATGATATTTACATGTCTAGGATCAATTATAAACATTTCAAATACAATTTCAGAAAAAATTGCAGAATCCAGAAAGGGTACCAAAGCTACTTTTCACGTAATTTTCTGCTATAAAATAAATTGAACCCGAGGGCAATTGCACTAAAAAGTTACATAACAATCATCCCTCCCGTAGTGGCCTATTGTTGCAAGACATAGACTATTAAAAAAAAAAGGACCAAGAGGCAGACCAACCAAAGAGAAGATGGATGATGTCTTGAATGATTTAAAATCTTTAAATATCTCCAACTAGAAGATCAAGGTCAGATACAGAGTTGTCTGGAGAGATATTGTGCAGCTGGCTAAGGCCCACCCTGAGCTGTAGTGCCAATAAAGAGGATCGCGTGACAATATTTTCCCTTAAAATTATGTTTAAAGGTTTTAAAAAAATAAGACTTGAGATCAAAATAAATTTTTCCACCCACCCATGTGGGCAAAGTAAGATTATTAGTTCTGGCTGTCATCTTCACAATAAAAAATGTTTTTTAATGTCTCCTTTGTGTACTTTGTTTTCTAACTATTTGACTGTATCTACACATTTTGACTAATTAATATTGAATTTAAATATTGAGAAATTTAGATTCATGGCTTCATAAATGTTTGAGTTTTAACATTTAACGCTGTTTTTTGAAGCTCTGTCCAGAAGGAAAAAAAGTCATAGTTTATTTGCCTTACTCTTGAAGCAATGCGATGATTTTAAACTATATTTATAATCTTGCAGTGAAGAATTATCTGAGCCTTAGAGCAGACAAATAACTTAAATATTTTAAAAGTTAAACTTTTTAAAAATTCGCCAATTTGTCGACATTTTTCTATCTAGATGAAAATTATCAAAATCACTTCCTTATTCTCACATTTTTATGAGCCCAAGTAATGTAGCATTGGAGTAAGTTTTTAAGTATTAAAAAATTAGACCACTAATGCTTCATTTTCACAAAACAGTGGCTTTTCTCCATATTGACATTTTGCACGGTTTTCAAAATAAGCGTGGACAACGCTGGCTTTAGATAGACTAAACTTGACCCAACAATCAGGAGCTACCGTTGCAAACTCTCAGCAGTTTTAAAAATAGCATATAATTCGCAAAAAGGCATAATTTCATTACGACGAAGCCATCGAAAAACAGCCTTAATTAAATAACAGCTCTTTAATAACAAATACATGGACATACTTTATAACTAAATATATGGACTTACTTTGGCGTTTTCCCCGCGTTATAAAACGTCTGTTTTCTGGTATTTTTTTCGGGGAAATAAGTCATCCACTTCGATTTAAAATACAGAGTATTCACGGCAATCAAATCTTCTGATGAATCCAGAGATTCTACGATGCCAACTATCTTATTCCTTGTTTGGTTGCGGACCCAGTCATTAATTCGATTCACCGTTTTTGATCTGCTAGTCAAGTCAAATGTTTCTAACGGTGCTCGGAATATTTCTTCAGCATCTTTTATGTAAGTGGAATTCAACTTGAGAAGTTTATTGACGAATAATGCTGTTGCCATATCCAGGATGTAAGCAATTGGTTTCTCTGTTATCAGATGATGACTTATAAGGTATCGAAAAGCTGTGGAAACTTCAGCTCTAGTTAAGTTGCAACTTTTATAGCCCAAAATATCCTCCAGTTCCTGTAAGAAAAATAATTAAATGTAGATTTCGATATTTTGTTTGGTGTTGCCTAATCATCACCCTTAACATATTTTTCGAATCGTCACTGAATAGAAATTAAAAGAACTCACAATAGGGATCACAATTTAATTCCGATCGTATTTGTTAATTTTCAATTGGACTTTGTAGATGAAAAATGTTATACGATAGCGGGAACAATCGTTACCAAAATCTGACTGATGAGGAATGGGATTAAAACCAACTAAACCATTTTAATTGCTCAATGAAACTTTAATTTTCTTATAATTGATTTTCTCCATTGAGCTTCTTACTGCATGTTTTTAATCTCGCCTTCCTCGTTTATGACGCGATAGGTTTTCATTGTTTTTTCCACTTACTTGAATATTAATTACCGACCTCCAATAAGTGCATTATTGTTTCTTTTTCGACATGAATCTTTAAATGATATATTAAGGGTGAATATAATTAAAAAAAACTTTTGCTTGAAAGTGCCCTTACTGTCTTAAAAGATAGAAAACTGGTTTCAATATTGTTACATAGATTTAGCAACTAGATTTATTTATATGGAGCATTTAAAATGTTGTGGTAATTTCAAATAAAATTCTTTGGTTTTCAATTCCTAATTTTTAGAAGGAATGTATGAATCCCATACATAGGGGGTTCATCCTTAATATTTTTTCGAACCCTTGTCCAAAATTGCAAACCTTCACACATTTCACCTTAGTCTCAATATGTTTAAACGAGGAAAAAACAAACACGCTATCAAAATATGACGAATCAATATTAAGGAAAGCAAGATTAAAAGAATCAAAACCAGACTAATTGCCTGATGAAAGTTGAAGGTGTTTCTGAGCATCACCTATCAACTCCACCGTTTTGCTTTCGTTAATAAACAGTTTTTGACATTTATTATGCAATTTTTAGATGTGATTTATCCCATTTCACTAACGTTTTCGTTTTATTCTGGCATAAGTATTAGTTTTGTAATTCCTAAGATTGATAACTTTTTACTTCGTTTTTAACAAGGATTCTAAAAATATGTATGAATTATGTTTGGTAATAATGGAAAACCATGTATATATCAAATTGCGAATTGGGAAAGTAAGACTGTTTCTTAGTTTAAAATATGTTCCTCATAATTGGATTAGAGGAGAAATCTGTCTGCGCATCTAAAATATCAAGTTTAAAAAATGACTGCTGTTTAAATCGTATTGGTAGGAAATATTTTGTAAAGCCAATACCTTTTTAGTCTGCTTTAAATATTTTTTTAAAATTTTAATATTGTTTCAAATATGTAAAGTTTTAAGTGACATAAATGATTCTGGTTTTATTATAAAATAATCAGATATATACACAATCTTACGAAAAAGAAATATGCTTAAAAACATCAATTTATTTCAATTATATTAGACTCGAATTTATTTGATTAAAATAAATAAGCAAATTTGAGTTAGTAGTTTTGCTAAGCTTATCAAATAAATTGGTAAAAACAGTTCCGCTTTTAAAAAGGTTAAATACTGTACTATAAAATCACAGAACTTGCAACATTGGGAATATAGGAAAAAGCTAAATTACACAATTGCTTTTGATCTTATGACTTAAGTTTATCTCTAAAATTTCTATTTTTATAGTTAAAAAAGATAAGATTAAAATGATTAGTGTTATATTCTTAACTTGAACGATATATGATGTTTTGTTAAGATTATAGATAGTCGTCTGTAAGTTCGTGATTTTCAATCATACCTGACGTGCCGACTTTTAATCCTTTCGAGGATGACATTTCCCAAAGACAGTAAATTTGAATTGAATTTTAGTCTGAAACATGCGTATTAATATGATAATAGCTTAATTAACAATAATAGAGTAACATATTTCTATTTTTAAAGAACTTTTTGATGGAACTAACCCGCATTTGCGTTACATGGAGAGGAAGACCACGAGAACCTCCCACGGTTACCCTGACGGCAAGAGGACTCTAATCCATGATCAGTCTACCACTGAGCACTATTCACGCCAGCACTGTGGTCGGTGCAACCCGGGTGCGGAATTCATATCGACCTGCCGTCACCGGGATGGAACCCCGGTTCACCTCATTGGAAGGCGAACGCTCTATCCCCTGAGCCATCGCGGCTCGAGCAAAATTTTCGATCTAAATGTAGCAACTAATTTTGGGCAGAGGTACTAGAAAATTGTTATTAAAAAAAAGACATTCACTGTCAAATGCTGCCTCCCTAAGCAAAAATTACAGTATTTCCAGTTAGAAAGGTATAGGAAAATGACTTTTTTAGAATTGCAAACAAAAAGCAAAAGCGAAAAGTTTAGCAAGATTTATAGATTTTTAAAGTTGTGAATAAGATTTAAAATATTACCTTTGCAGTGCTTCCTCTTGATCCATGATATATCAATCCCAATGTAGTAGATATAGATATCGGAGAAAATACTATATTTTTTGTCTTCTGTGTAACCATGCTTGAAAGGAGATTAAAACCAAAGTTGTTACTTGCTTCCGACAATCGCCATGAATATTCCATCAAAGTCTCCATGCCCAAAGTTGCATTTTCTGAAGTGAATACCGATTTTGTCAAAGATAATAACACGAAAATGAAAATGTTACAGAATTTCATTTTAAATCCGATATTTTCGGAAATGTAACTCACGAGAAACTAATCAAAATATTTAAGAAGGGAACATAAAGTTCTTTTTGATACACTTTCTTTGAAGCTATTCAATTCTTCCCAGTTGTGTGATTAACAAGTTGAATACTTAACTCTCCTTAAACTTTATTTACGACATTTAATTTTGATTAGAAAACTTTGCTAGGAAATTAGTTTCAAAAGTGTAAATTAAAATCGTCAAAAAAGTGCAAATTAGCTGCGGTTTATAATAAATAGAAGATTTTTAACCGATCACGAAACAGTTAGTAGGTAAGTACTTTATTTAACGCCGCACTGGAGCTGCAGAAATATCCCTGAGGATGATCCGAGAACATATCATTACAATTTTGTGAGGACATTTCTTCAATTTAGACATAGATAAGAAAAGACAGGTAATTTTCTCCAGATTCCAGCAGTCATGTAACTGCTCCACGACAGATCTCAGTTTTTTCGATTCCAAATATTTTATGAGCACGTATACCGCATTTACTTGGTGGGTCCTAGCGGAGGATCGAACTCCGCACCGGTGACCGGTCTTTCAACCCCTAAAGACCACGAAACAATGGTAAGTAGGTATTTTCTTACGTCGCACTAAAGTTGGACAATGGGTTATTGTCGACAGTCTGAGAAATATCCCTGAGGATGATCCGAGAACATATCATTACAATTTTGTGAGGACATTTCTTCAATTTAGACATAGATAAGAAAAGACAGGAAATTTTCTCCAGATTCCAGCAGTCATGTTACTGCTCCACGACAGATCTCAGGTTTTACGATTCCAAATATTTTATGAGCACGTATATCGCATTTACTTGGTGGTTCCTAGCGGAGGATCGAACTCCGCACCGGTGACCGATCTTTCAACCCCTAAAGACCACGAAACAATGGTAAGTAGGTATTTTCTTACGTCGCACTAAATTTGGACAATGGGCTATTGGCGACAGTCTAAGAAATATCCCTGAGGATGATCCGAAGACATGCCATCACAATTTTGATTCTTTGCTACGGGGATGGCTCCTCCGCTTTGGCGACTTCGTGCGACAACCTGCGCACGAATTCGAGCAATTTACGGTAGAACAGTTTAACGAGGATCCGTACCGCCCACACTCGGTTCCTACGTAGGCTGATCAAAGTGTTCCCCCATCCACTTACTAATCACAACCAGCGATAATTGATTTCGGTGTTCTACAGGGACCCGTATCCTTACGATCAGTCCACTGTCGGAGCAAGATTCCCAGCAGATCACCGAAGTCAAGCATCACTGGCTGCGGTCAGTGTGCGTGTGGGTGACCACTTGGATCAGTCTGCGTAGGGACCGAGGGTGTGCGGTATTGGTCCTCGTACTACCGTAAAGTGCTCGACTTCGCGCTCAGGTCGTCGGGCTACCGAAGCGGGTGTGCCATCCCCTCCGCAGAGGATCAAAATTGTGATGGCATGTCTTCGGATCATCCTCCGGGATGTTTCCCAGACCGTCGTCAATAGCCCATTGTGCAGCTCTAGTTCGACGTAAATTAACAATAACAATAACAAGTCGGAGTAAGATTTAGGATTGCGATGCAGAACATTGCTGGTTCGTGGCTCGAAATACTGGAAAGTAAGCAGATAGCAAACAAATCCTAAATTGTCGTGAGTCAAAACATTATACCCAGAGGAGTCTGTGATTACTTGTGGTGCTTTCTGCGTTCAAGGTATAATCCTTTACAACGTTCACTTACGTAGAGATAATAAAAATAATTTCTATTATAACTCATCCTACTTTATTTTTTATTCTCTGTTAGAGATGTCTTTTGGTAGATTATGCTGTCTACTTCTGAAAAGCTTCACGTCCATTTCTTGTCTTGAGGACAGAATTCTGCAGATGTATGGATTAATCAATAAAGAATTGATGAAGTAATTGGTCCTACATCAGTTAAAGCGCTTATAAACTACTCGCTTGTAGGCACTGACTTCGGGATACGAACATACGATTTTCTATGTAACCGCTCGGGACCATAATCGTTTGGGGAACCCGACCTAATTATGAATATCAATGAAGTTGTTCTTACTTCAGTTAAGCGGTAGTAGTATTTAATTTACGTCACACTCGTGCTACACAATGGCCATCTTTTGGGAAATATACCTGATAATGATCCAAAGATATCTCTTCTGCTGAGGATCAAAATTGTGATGTCATGTTTTTTGATCCTCCTCAGTAATGTGTCACCATATAAAAAGAAAATTATTAACTGCGAAAAAAATTTATTATTCAACGAAGAAGTTCCCAAAGTCTCTAAAGCAAACTATTTGGGTATCACTATAAACTGCACCCTAAATTGGAAATATCACGTCTCCAATATACTTAAAAAAGCTGAAGCTGCTTATCAAGCTTTGAAACCCATTTTAAACAGCAATAGCAAAATGGCTTTAAACACGAAAAGGCACATTTATCTAATGTGCATAAGACCAATCCTCAGCTATGCATCCCCGGCATGGGGGACGCTTACAAATGCACAAAGAAAGAGACTCAGAGTCTTCGAACACGAAATCCTAAGACGAATCACTGGGGCTCCCTGGTTTGTCAGAAATAACACCCTCTATAATGACCTCAAAATCGACAAAATAGACGAGTGCCTTTTTAAACTCAATGCATCCTTTTTTAAAGGTGCCAAAAATTGTTCAACTTGCAAATTCAATAAGTTGTTTGACATTGATTTTATAGATAAAAATAAAAATTTCAGCCCGATAACCGATTTTTCTTAAGCGACTGTGTTCTCTCTAAGCATTTCGGATAATCATGACTATCCCCACTGCGACTTTACACATTGTCGACTCCCGGGCACTTCTTCGGCACCGTATTTTGAAATTCGCCAATGTTACATTCGCCAAGTCGGGTTTCAAATTTTCTCGCGAAAATCTTCGAATATTAATTCGCGCATGTTTCACTTGCGACATACGATTTAAAAAACGCATGAGTGAACATGAGGTGTGAATAAATTTAGCTGCTTTAAAAAATTTTGTGTATTATCATTCTCTTTTTATTCGGACTTCCTGAAACACATATTTATTTCTTACTTTTTTATTTCCTTTTTAGGATAAAGTTTTGTTGTGGGTGTAGGATATATGAGTAGGGTATAGCTTTTTAATTATTTTTATAAAATTATTGCAAATAATTTATGGTGTCTTTACCAAGTATGTGGACACAATATTCTATAATGCAGCAGGGTTTTGTACCTTATTGTTTAGTTTTTAGAACCTTTAATTTAAGTAACTACACAATTTATGAGTTTTAAGCATTTTCTTTTTATATACGTGTAATGATGAGGAGATTGTTGCTGTCAGCTTTATACATGAATTTATTCTTTTTTACTTTTCTGACATTGATATCTATGATTAAATTTGATGTAATGATTCCCATTTGCAGTGCCAACAATATTTGCGTCCAAACAATTGTACTTAGATTTGACACTTTTTTGTAAATGTTATGTCCCAAACGATAAATTCCTTCATACGTATTAGCCAACTCCACAGCTTTGGTAGCCAGGACTTAAAAATTTGTAGCAGTTAAAGTATATTTATGAGGTGAACACAATTTTGATTAAAGAAAACTTTTTATGATTTGTAAAATAAAAATATAATGTAAACAGTAAGCATCAACTTTGACATTCTCATATCATAACTCATATCATATAAGGACAATCTGTTTATTTATTTCTGATTCATTAAAGACAAGATATTGAGTCAAATAAGAGAATCTTAACAATTTTTAAATTTAATAATTTACTTTAAATAAAGAAAGTAGTTTTAAAGCAATATGGTTGAAAGGCTGAGGACTTACACTTTTCTCAAAAAAATTAATCGATGTTATGATAATAAAACAAAACTCTTGCGATCTCAGCAAAAGTAAGATTTTTATTACCAAATAAGAAACAATTATTACCATTCTGCAAGGAACAAATAAAATAAAATAGGTCATACAGTTTTCAGACACACAGACTGCATGACAATCTAAGAATAAATGTTTGAACTTTTAAAGCAAATTACATACAATAAAAGCTATTGTGTGAAAAAAAATTAAAAAACAAGTTGTTACAAATGAGACTATTATATGATTCCAGCAACTTAAAAATTCTTTTGGAATTTTAAAGACTAATGAATACTATTAAATAATAACAGAAAAGTTTTCTGTGTCTCTTTTGTCTCATTTTTGAAGCAGAATATAAATTAAAATACACATTTCACTTTTACTGATCCTGCTTTTCTCTGAATCGTTCTTATTAAAATAGATGAATCGTGTTAAATTACGTTACATTAAGTTAGTAAATGTGTTTTCGCACTTAGGAGGAAAAAAAGGCCTAATTTTAGATTGACAATAAATGTAATAATTTTCATAGTATTTTTTCCATATCTTATTTAGAAGCCCAAAAATTGAATAAAAAAATTATAAAATATATAGACCAATTGTTGAGTTATAGAATCTAATAAGCTAAAGTTGTTATAAAATTATGAATAAAAAGTTACAAGATGGATAAGTTATGAAATTAATGAAGCATAGAATGAAAGGATAAATATATATAGCAAAATATATGATAAAATTAATTAGGAAACAATTAAAACGAAGGTGAGTAATTTCAGATATATACAAATAATAGTGATAGAAGCAAGAAAAATGGAAAATATCGGAATTTTCCCTGACAAATTTAAGAAACATTAAAAAAAGTTGAGCAGCCACAACTTTAAGTTTTAATAAATATGATTTGATGTTATAAAAAATAAATTAACTATACGAAAATAGTAGTGAATATGTCATAGATTTGTTTCTTTATGTCATGGCTTTACTAAAAATATTTTTTCTCCTTGTTTTCATAATAGCACGCATTTTACAGAAAATATTTGAACAAATTTAATGAAAATATTTTCAAATTTTTTTAAGGACTCTCTTATGAAGAAAATATTGTCAATCAAAAGTTGTTCAGTATAAAATATATGCAATTTTTTTAAGATATTGTAAGCATTTTGAAGAATACATATTTTTTCCAAAATAGAAACAATTGAAAACACATGGTAAAAATGAAGGAAATAAAAATAATTATTTTTCAAACTGCGTAAATTTTTTTTAATACTTTTATCTTCAAAAATATGTACAATTAATAATGCGATGATTTATATAGGGAATTATTTTTTAAAACTTTGTTTATTAATTAAGATATTCAAAAGAAATTGATTATTCTGAAGATATAAATATTTTATTACTCCAGATTTTTATTTAATTTACAAGAATAGTTTCTATTTGAAAAATTTTTTAACCGCAATATGTATGTAATTAACTGAAATAATTGTGTGTATGTAACTTTTTCTTTATAGAAGAACGAAGTTTTTTGATCTCGTTATT